AAACTTTGCATTGGTACCACCAGCTCATGCATGAAGAATCTACTACTAGTAGCTACTACTAGTACTACTACTAGTAGCCAGAGAAGAATTTGCAATGCTCCTCACTTAACTGCAGTCTCCAGATGTCTGTTCTTGAGAAGTGGTGCTGGATATTTCATTTCAAGAAAATTGAAATTAATTCCTGCTAACAACTATTTGCTTATACTAGTAGTACTAATAGTAGACACGTCTTGCTTGCAGCAATCCTCACTACTACTAGTAGTAGTGCTACTAGTAGTAGTATCATGTCACATCATAATAGTAGTAGTAGTAGTAGTAGTAGTAGTAGTAGTAGTAGTAGTAGTAGTAGTAGTAGTAGTAGTAGTAGTAGTAGTAGTAGTAGTACTAGTAGTACTAGTAGTAGTAGTAGTAGTAGTACTACTACTACTACTACTACTACTAGTAGTAGTAGTAGTACTATGTTAGTACTAGTACTACTATTCTATTTTACTAATACTAGTAGAGCTACTACTACTACTACTACTACTACTACTACTACTACTATTCAGTCAGCACTTCCAAGGGTTGGCAATAACTGACTTTCCAGTGGTTCTGTGTGACCTACTAAAATAAACCTTAACTCCTGCTTCATCCTGATGGCTGCCTATGGGGTCTGGTAGTCATTTAAACCTCCTGTTGTGAGCTTGTCCACAATGCCAATGGTATGTGCTGGAAATACCTTGATGGCCAATCATTGGTAAGTGGCTGATTTCTGAACAATCAAGGTCAGATTATGCTCAAGTCTTATCTTTTTACATCAAGACCACATAGCATCATATAGAAAGAAGGAATGATGACTTTGTTAAACAAGTACTATGTGCTGATCACAGTCAATCAAGATGTGTGTGCAAAGGTGAAATTGTTATCAGATTTGTCTCTTGGAGCTCTTTCTGGTTGATACAAAGGAATGTAACTAAAGAATTGGAAATCTGTCCATGCGCATCTCAATAATATTGAGCTTGGAACCATATTTCACCACACAAGAATTTGTCCTTGTGCTATGGACATCTAATAAGCATGAATCCAGCAAGAGGCCACTCAAAGGTAACTGTATGCCCAAATATTCCAACTGTATGCTAAGATTATCTGTCCTTTGGTTTGACATTCAGATCTATGCAACCACCAAGCCCCCACCAATCTCTGTGTAACTTCTGGCTGTTCCTGGGTGTGGCAAACTGACCGTCCTTGAAGTTTCAACAAACAAGAACTCAACTAGAAAAAGGACACCATTGATGCTCATATCTATCTTTTGATGTCAATGAATGTCTTGTGCTTTGTTGCTTAAATTTCACAAACCAACCGTAGTATGTTCAGTCATGTCAAACAAGGACCTTGCTGCTCTAAGAACATTGATGATTCTTGTCTCCTCTATCTTCAGATGTTGATGGATGTCATGTGCTTCTGCCTGAATTTCACCACAAAATCAAGGACATTATGTTTTGGAACCCCAGCATGACACTTGGAACAGATATACTGGAACTGCACCAAGCTTGATATTGCACACAAGAAAATCATTGGAATTCCACAAGAACAAACAGAACATCAGCAAATAAGCTAGTAGCTGGATTAAATGGTTCCATTTGATACATTTTTGTTTATGGTCCATGTCTCATGTAGGGTTATTCATGTGATTTAATTCAGTTGATAAAATTTGAATACTGTTGAAAAAATATGGAGTGTCTTGTGATCCAGTAATCTTTATTCAGTTCAAACATCAGTTAAAGCTGACGGAAGTAATGTCATCTTGAGTTACAAAAGTATCACCTATGAGATCACCCCTCCTTAAATTTTTCTGACAAAATATGAACACTTCTTTTTAAGGTTAGAAGACACATGTGTGTACTATTTTGCTCATGGACTGACTGATTGCAGAACAATGATCAAACCATTGTTGCCTGATACATCATATGTATCATTCTTTTACAGTCATGTTCAGGTGAACCCACAAGACTACACAGGGATCCCTCTGGGAAAGGATTCACCTGAAAACAATACATGATGGAATTGATATTAACTAGTAGGGGGAGAACAATCATGCAGTATTTTCCCACATTGGGAAGAGCTCAACCAAACAACTATATTTAAATATTATGTGTAAAACAATCATGCAGGTATTTTTCCACATTGAGAAGAGCTCAAACAAACAGAAGAAAAGAGAAGTGGTCAGTGGATTTTGACATTTACTTGTCTTATCAGTGGAGAATTTGTAACTTTTATCTGGTGTTGGTCAAGAGGGATTGTGTTTCAATTATGCCAAATGGAATGAAGTTGATAGAAAGAAACTAATCAATCTAATCATTCTTAGATGGAGCAAAAATGACTCATGTTTGGGTTCTTGACTTCTTCTTCAAAAAAGTTTTTGCACAAAAGTTCTCCAACCATTTGGATGCAAGGCTTACAGTTGTTCTGTACACCAAACAGGTGCTTTGTGACCTTGAAATTATGACATGGCTGACAGTCATCCTTATGACTCCAAGTATGCAGCAGAAAGTATACATCAGAGCTGAAAGTACATGTACACAAATTGATGTGAAAAATCTAATGTATTGGGCTCATTATCCATTAAAAATTCAAGGACCTGTCCTTTTCCTGCTTTTCCACCCAATTACACCATCCATTCTTGCTCCAGTGATTAGCATGCATACAGGTCTGCATTGTTACTTCAGCATTCTATCCTGGGCTGTTCACATGTTTCTGAATAAAAAGTGTCATGTTGACATCATTGCCCAAACCCATTTCCCAAATAAATGGCACATTCACCAAGGTATGGGCATGTGTGGACTAGTAAGTGATGAACTACCATCATTTGAAAAACTCATTTCATTGAGTCACGTTGGTCATGTGCATTAACCCATCTCATGAGTCCATGGACCAACCAGGCAAACTTGCAGATTTGACAGATTGATTCAGTGCCACTAAAATAACAAGGAAGCATCTTGGTTGTAAAGGTCATGAGACCCAACAGTCAATTGTGAACAACAAACAAAAGTCTTCTTGACTTGATCTCAATTTACTAGATCACAAGTTGAGAGTTGAGTTTTAGGTTTGAGCTTGCCAAGACTTTGGTAGCAAAAGGGTCAGGAGTTATTGTTCTATTGTCAAACTGTATTTTCTCCTCATTTTTTTTGTAGATCAGATGGCCTGTGCACCAGTCTGATTGATTCTGGTAGAATATTTCTGAGTCAGCAGAGTGAAAGTCAAGGGAGGCTCTAGATCTAGATGCATTGCTAGATTGTCTTTTGACTTTTGCTGTTGCTGGGCTTTCTGGATCAGTGAGGACATGGCCAAGATTTAGAGCAAAATAATTGGACAGTATTGAAAAAACCTATCTGAATGGGTTCATGATCTCATCATGCTTCATGTGGATTGAATCTATTCTTTTCTACTACTTTGTTTGTGTCTACATGAACCTTCTCTTGAGTGTATGTTTGTATCATTCCCTGTGTGAGCTTGACAAAACCATCATATGTCACAGAGTTGATACCTGCAGTATCATCTGGACAGATACTGAAGATATCAAGATTTAATAAAAAGAATGAGCATCCAACTTCTTCAATACTGAGCAGCACATTGTCCCCAACTGATTTCTACTACTAAAGCATGTAGGTTGGTCAGATTGGATGATTAAATTGTATTTTCAGTGATCATAAAAATGTTGTATGGCTCCCATCTCACACATACTAGTAGTAGCAAAATACTTTATACACCAGGGCCAATAGAGACCTATCTGGAGTAAGAATGGAATAAAAAGACGAGTTGGGGCTCAAATTACAATTCATGCAAATTTTATTATTTCTCAGCACACATCTTTGCCTTTTATTGTTTTTGTCATCTCAACAAAGAATTACTAGGAGGAAATCAAAACATTTTCTGAGCAAAATCCAGGAAATGATTCTCATTATCTTTTCTACTAGAGTAGATGCATTAAATATAAAAATCCATCAGATATTGTCAAACGCCACTGTGTTTTGTGAGTTCAGGTACTACTATACTATACAACAAGTAGCAGAAGGTTGTATGAATAGTGCCAACACTTCCATAAGTGAAACCATCTCAAGACTTCTGAGTTCCCCTAAAATCATGATGTAATCTTCAACAAGACTCCTATGAGGTTTATTCCAAGGTACAAATGTTTCTTTGGGTGAAACTTAGATGCAAGATTGGTCAATAGTGGTAGTACTATTAGTAGCACAGAGTAGCAGCAACAGCAGGAGTCACCAAGGAACTCCTTGTCTTTTTTTCAACTCAAAGTGCATTTAGTATTTCATCTCCTCGCCAACCAAAAATACCACCAGCAAGTCTTGAGTGCATCATTCTATTTTTGCAGGATAAATCATCCCCAAGCTTATTGCCATTGTCAGCAAGTTTGTAAAAAGATGACTCTTACTTCATCATCATCCTGTGAAAATGATTTGAAAAATTTTGACATGGTAGTTTTACAACAAATAAGGGACTCATAATTCCACCATGCTTTGCTACTATCTCTTTCTCAACAAAGACAGTGACATCATATCACCTCACTTGAGTCTCTTTTTTGGTGCAGTGCTGGCTGTAATGAGAGGAACTGGGAAGTGGAAACACATGAGGAAACAAGGCATACTAATTGCTCCCATTTATAGTGTGTTTTGGTTGAAATTCTACTATGGTGACAAAACGAAGTCTAAATTTTGTCATACATGTTTTCAGAGGAGTGTTGGGGAGTCCATAACAAACAATATACCATTCCAGTTGTATTCTGATGCTGTTGGTTGCCTTACACAAGCACCCCCCCCCCCACCACCACCACCACTGCTGCTACTACTACTAGCCTTTTGAAACAATTGGAAATAGTATGAATCCTAGTAGTGCTGAGAGTACTCCTTTAAAAAATGTTGAACACTATTGAAAAGCAATAGGGAAAGAAGCAATATCAATTTCAATAATGGCACCTCTGCAAGTTAACAACAAAATCAACGGAATTATGCAGATACAACCTTTTCTTATGAGCTCCAGAGTTCCAAAAAATTTTCCAACAATGGTTGACTTCTCTCTTTTCTGTTTTTTTTTTCATTCTTGTTCCGACGAAATGATGCTAGGGTCATCATTCCTGCTGTTGGATGGTAGCAATTCAAACCGCCCATTGATTGATCGTTTCCACTGKGTCTGGAAAGGTCCGGGCAGCTCCCCGTAAACTTCAAAAAGATTCGAATTCATAGTTTCACACCTCCATTGTAAATACCGTTATCTATATTACTCACTGAAATTATCTACATTTTTAGCCGCTTGTTTACTGTTACAAGAGCTCAAGATTCCATTCCAAACTAAAAATATACTTCATTCCGCATCGTCGCCGCCGCCCCCGCCGTCGTGGTCGTCGTCGTCACCATCATCATCATTTCAGCTGGTCAATTCTGTTTTGGTAGCTGTACATGAATGCCTTCCAACCCAAAAGTGACCCTGATGCTCCTCAAAGTCATTCGAGAAAAAAACCTTTCATCCCCAACTGTTTCTTTTGTATTTTCTATCTAACTCTTGGAGAGGAACGAGAGGAGGTCTTGCGCCGATCCCTTCGCTGCCTTTCTTGGCCGTAATCGTCGTATTGGTTGCTTTTGTGGAATTCAGGTGATACTTGTTTTGAACTCTTGCTGTGCCTTGTTTTCGAGTGGCGACCGTGTCGGTGCTGTTTTTGTTGCTGCTGATCGTGACGAGGATAATCCTCGTCCCGAACTGGGTTTCCGCTTCTTCTTCTGCTGGGACTGTTGCTGGTCTCTTCAATCTGAAAATAATGCTTTCCAATATTGTTTTCATCGGGGCCATCGTCGCTGGTAGTCCAATCGCGATTGGCTTCGTGTCCCTTGCCGTCTCCATCCTCGATTCCATCGTCGTTGTCGTCGTCGTCACAATAGTAATCGTTGTTGTAGTCTTGCGGCTGCGGCGTGCAATACATGCGGTTCCGGACCTCCCGGAGCTGGAGGGCGACCGGGGAGGACGGCAGGTTCGAGTTGGCGACCACCTCGTGGACTTGCTCCACGATGCCCCCCACCATGGCGTGGCCACGCTGGTAGGCGTCCTGTGCCGATTCCTGGACGCTCTCGAAATTCGATGGCAATTGGAGAGATGCCTTCCAAACGCTCGACGACGACGCGCCGGGATCGAAAGACCGGCTCTTCCCGTGTTGCGATGGGGACGAGGCGGTAGTGGTTCCGCCGTGGTGGTGACACATCATGCAGGTCAGCAAATCGCTGGGATCGAGCGGTGGGGGAGGGCCTTCCTCCAGCGGTGCATCGTCCGAAAGGTCGATGAGCGAGTGGTGGCGGCCGTTGTCCTTGTTGTTGCTGCTGCTGCTGTTGAATACTGAAGTGTGGTCCGCCGCGCACAGCTTCCACATGCCGTGCTGGATTTCCTCGAGCCCGGCCCTGGTGTCGGCCTTGACCTCTTCGTTGAGGTCCTCGAGCTTATCGATCTGCTCTTGCTGGCCGTCCACCAGCCCCGCGAGGTCCTGGTAGATCTCGTTGACCTTTCGCATGCTCGTGGAGATCTTTTGGACTTCCTCGTTGCGCTCCCGCATGGCCCGATCGAAAAAATCTTCCTCCAGCTTCTGGGCCTTGGCGGTGGGGCCGGTGGACGTCCCATCGGGGTCCCCCGCCGCGGCCGCGGCGCTGGAGGTCAGCACGCTGACTTCGGCGCGCTGCTGGAGTTCCATCGCTTGCAACACCGAGCGAAACTGCTGCGAGGCCCGCCGAAAGTCCCGTGCGAGCTTGTTGTTCCTGGCGGCCACTACCGTCTGGGGAAGAGCCTGTTGCTGCCCGGGGCGATGGTTCTGCTGCGCCTTGTCGCCGAGGAGCTTCCTCTCGAGATCGGCTTCCGCGTCCCTTGCCGATCGCAGCAGGATCCGGGACTTCCACATGGCTTCCGGCGACGACGCGACGGCAGGTGCCCGGGAGGCGGATTCGAGGTCGGCCACCATTTTCTGAAACCGGGCAATCTCGGTGGAAAGAGAAGAAGACGACGACTGCCTCGGTTGTTTGGCCCCGGAGGACAAGGACGTCTTCTCGCCCGAGCCGTGGCGGTAGTGATTTGGCAGCCGCCGGCTGCTGCGTTCGCGCTCGCTATCCCGTGCCATTGTCCTTCGGTGGCGGTCGATGCTGGACGCGCTCTCGGTTTCGTTGGAACTATAGTACTCGTCGTCGTCGTCGTCGTGTGTGGCCGTGCTCGTGGCGGATATGGACGTCGATGCCAGAGAGGCATCGTTGCCTTGGTCGTGGCCCAGGAGGTTTTTCTGGGTGACCGGGCATTGCAGGTGGTCCAATCGTGGCCGAACCCCCCTGGAGGTTTTCCAGTCCCTCTGGCGGCTCACGACAACGGCACCGCCGTCGCTCTGCCTCCGGCTCGCCGTGGGGGGTTTGTGGTGTTTGTGTTTGTCGAATCTGCCGACGTCGCTGCCCTCGCTTTTTCTGCGCCTGGAAGAGCCGCGGATCGCCGCCGGCGGTGGCGACGAAAACGCGGAAATGGCCTGTCGACCAAGATCCGAAAAGGACATTTGCGGACTGGTTCTGTTCGGAACCGTGTGGACAAACGTATGGAGAATCTATGGTATGCCAAAACAAATCCAGCAAATCCGTGGAGTGCTTTTCAAAAGAAAAAAACCTCGCAAGTGAGTCAATCAATCGATTGACGGATCCAGCAATTCGCTCACGTTCGAAGGACGATTCTCTCGGCTGTTCGTTTTTCTTTTCGGCACCCGCTGCGTTTTCTCTTTCTCGAGAATTGCACCCGCGCCTTTGTGATTAGGGAAATCGTGGAGGATGTCGTCTGACGGAAAGGCTCTCTGATCTCTTGCGATACATAGAGGAATGCATCCAACGAACGAAGCTCGAAAAGGGAACGTGTTCGTCGGTTTGCGTTGGGATGAAATCAACTATCGATTGGAGTGCCTAGGTTTACCCGATGCATTCGTACCCTACCGGTAAGCTAGGGAACATCCATCGAAACCTGTTGGTTTCGTGATTCCCGTTTGGTGATTTCGATGGTGGCATGCATGCATCCGTCCGTTCGATCCTCACACCAAAAATTGGGGTTTGTCTTGTTTTTAGCATACCGACATGGTTTCGTTTGCTACGGGTATTGCTTGGTATGCGAACCGTACGGCTCGCCGATCCTTCCGTTGCGTGTCAGAATTTGCGTAACTACCGTACCGTACGTACTTTACGATACTCGTACCGGTACTTCTGGTAAAAAATCTCAAATCTGCTGCGTACAACATACCGTACAGTACGTAGTATTGTGTCGTAAATACCGAACGGTACTAGGATAGTCGTTACAACAAGATGCTGGTTTCAACTTTTTACGTTTTGTCCAAGCACCGAATTGATCAAAAATTAGATCGGCGGAAATTACTTTGGCGTACCGGTAGTGGTGGAAGTACTACTACTACTAGTAGTAGTAGACACCAACATGAAATATGGCACCCATCATACGGATCAAGAAGTCAGCAAAGTCAGGCAGTAGAATATATTTTTGGGAATTGCTAACACAACAAGAACTACCACTAGTAGCAGTGCTAGTAGTATAAGAAGTACTACTACTACTAGTAGTAGTACAGGGAGTTCTTCGCAGCACGTCACCAATGTTTAAGAAGAACATTCCAACAATGTTCCTCTTGTCAGCAGCACTAGTAGCAGCATACTACTAGTAGGCTTTCACGTAGAAATGAGTACTGCAGTTTTTGCTTCAATTTGATGTCCTGAATGCTCTACTTCACATTCTGAATGTTAGAAGCGTAGCTAGTAGGTGTCCTCTCCTTCTTCTTCTTCTTCTTTTATCATGAAACAAGAAGACCAAGACAATTGTTGGCGTGGTTTTTGATGCTGGCGTGCAGCGCTACCAAATAAAGAACACAATGCTACCAGCAGCACCAAATGAAGAATGAATATTACTATACCAGGATCTACATAGGCCTACAGTGACGTAATAACTTTTAACAAAAAATTTGGAACGTTATTTCTAACATTTGGAATGTGAAATTAACATTGGTGGGAACAACCCTGTGAAACGTGATTTCAATTGATGTGCACCAACACATAGTATCATAACATTTTTCTTTGAATCATGGACTTTGTGGTATTTCATGTTGGGAAAATATTGAACTTCTTTGTTGTAAATCAAGTATACTCCTAGTATCTTGCTTCTTGTTTTCAATTTGTTCACTGTTACTACTAGTACTACTAGTAGCATGAGTGTTAGTACTGCTATCATACTATTTTGTTATAATGAGTACTAGAAGTAAAAAACACTACCACCATTCAACAAGAATAGGAATGAATCATAGTCTCTATAATTGACATCAAACAGATTTTCACAAGAAGGACTAATCTATTCTGAATGTCATGGGCAGAAAATCTATTGTGAATTGGGATTGATATGATAGTACTTGCTTGAATGCAGAAAGTGGTGGAAAAAATTAGTATGTAGTAGTACTACTACTAGTAGTAGTAGAACTACTGAAAAAACAGGAAGAAAGCTAGTACTGCTATCAGTGCTACACTACTCCTACTCCTACTAGCTAGAAACTTAGTAACAGATTGCCAGCTGAACTCCTGCTGACAACAGTGTTGAAAAATGGCAGAGACTTTTCTCCTTCACAGGTAAACCAATGGTGTGTTGATGGCAGATTCCTAATCTACCACATTCAGAATCCTAACCAAAAAATGTTTTATGTCACCAAGCAGGTAGAGATCATAACTGCTGTCTTTGAACAACATTTTGTATAATAACATTACTACTAGTACTAGTACTAGTACTAATAAATAGTAGTAGGAATATTGTCAATGTCTACTCCTACTCCTACTCCTACTCCTACTCCTACTCCTGGTACTAATACTAGTAGTACTAGTAGTACAAGTAACAATCTATCCTCAGCATAATAGAATTGAGTTAATTTGATAGATGAGAGTAATACACCTCAGTTACTTCTCATCAATTATTATGACTCCTGGTACCAGTCCCCCCCCAGACAACATACATAGACAATGGCAAGATGATAGACAACAAACATGTGACTACAACTCCTTTTAACTCATCGAGCAAGTGCCATAAGCTTGTATTGATGGCTCTTTTAAGTTGAATACAGTTCCTCTGAGTGATGTCAAAACATGCTAAATTCGTTCTTAAAAGTATTACTAGGGCTAAGCAATGTAAAAGTAATTGTTTCCAAAGAATGAGATGAAAAGACATTCCATCGGCAATAGGTATAATTCGTTTCTTTGCGTGTCAGTGTTTCATCCCCCAAAAGAGAGGAGGTTGATTTCGTTTGCTTGTGATGTTCCTGGCGCCGATGGATGCAATAATATTATTATGAATATAAAGTAAAGCGAGCACGTGCGAGGTGCAATATCAGTTGGTTTGGTTTCATTGGTTTTGTTTGGTTTCCTTCGCGCTGTGCGACGTAGTTGTACTGGACAGATCGGTATTTTCGTAGTTTCGTTTGGTGGATCGGTGTCGACCCTTTTGTCTCGTCTCGAGATTCTTTCCAAGTTTCGAATAGACGCCCACTTTTTAGATTCGGCAGCAGCCTTAACTGTGAAAGCTTCGAATGTAATGGTAGATGATGCAGTTACACATATGGTACAAAAATGTGCAAATGATGCGTTAATAATAAGATGATTGCCGCCTGCCTGATATCCCAGTGAACACAGGTTCCTGGCAAAAATGGCAGCTTGTTTCATTCAAAGCCGAGTTGACCACGACGGGATTCTCTTTTCGACATTCGGCATGCTTCCCAATTCGATTTTTTTCTCCTTACACGAGAGAGTAGTTGTGTCGAATGCTCGCTCTTCCTATTTGCTCTCGGCCTTAATTGAGGCGGTGGTGGAGGAATTCGTCTGTTGTTGTTGTGCAATTTGCGCCTGTTGCTGCTTTAGAAAATTTCTGACGGCATCGTCCAGAGGGGCACTGCCAGAAGTACCACCCTGTCCGGCCCGAAGAGATTTGATCAAGAGCTGGATCCCGGGTGCATCCTGGCCAGCGGCTATCGAAAGGCCCGTGAGAGGAGAAGCCCCAGTGGCGGCCCCAGCCGGAGACGGAGGGGTGACGATGGCGGGATTTGTGACCGATCGGGCCTCGTTAGGAACGTTGGCAATCATGGCAGCATTTTCCGAATGGCTTTTGCCCTGTTCGTGTGCTTCCTGCTTCGCCGCCGAAGTCGATGGCGATCCCGGTGCCTGTGAGGCCATGTTTTGTTGTTGTTGCTGCTGCTGGGCTTCCAACAAACTTCGAAGATGCGTAAGATCAACACCGGCAGCGTTGTTTCCGGGTGCAGAGGGAGCAGTGGTTGCCGGAGCGGGCTGCTGCGATGCCGAGGAAGTAGCAGGACCGTTCATCCCTCCAATGCCCCGCGAAAGGAGTTCCTGAAGACGGGCCAAGTGCTGGTTATCACTCCGACCAGGAAGGTTTCCGGTGGCCGGTGCCTGGTGCGCTACATGTGCTAGTCCAAGGGCTGCTGATGCCGCAGCCTGGGCTTGTGCTTGGAGTTGCTGCGCGTGCTGTTGCTGCTGCGCCACCGCCGCATTCGCAGCTGCCTGAGCCTGCGATACCGCTTGATGGTGCTCCAGTTCGCTCACCCGTGACTGTGCTGCCATCAAAGCGATCTTGGCGTTAAAAATGTGTTGTTGGTCCACCGGGGAGGTCCCAGCTGCGGCGGCCTGGGACGAAAATGTGGTCAAAAAGTTGGTAAGGGCCGCTGGGTTGAAGGCTGGCGGTTGAGGGATGGTCGGGGGAGCGGGAGCAACCGCCACCGAAGGGGGTGGAGGGGGAAGGGTGGGGACAGAGGGAGTTTGCTGAGCCGAGAGCTTGGGGCTGCCGCTGTTGGATGGTGCTTGGGCAACCTGCTGCTGGCTTTGTGGAACCTGCTGCTGCGCAGCTACCACCTGCTGGGCTTGCTGTTGGGCATGTGCCTGGACCGACAGAGAGTTAGTTATTTGCCGGAGTTGCCGATTCTCAAGGAGAGCCGCCTCCAACTGCGATCGAATTTCGTCATTTGTTTTTCGTAGATCGTTGTTGTCCTTCGAGAGAGCGGCCACGGTTCTCTGCAGGTCCTCGATGAGTATCTTTCGGCGCTGCCTTGATTGAAAGGCAGACCGACGATTTGCGGCTCTTCGCTCGGCCTTCTTTTCTTCTTCCGTGAGAGGTACGTTGGCGGATGCACCGTTTGTTTTGTTGCCGCTGCTGCTTGCCGATGCCTTTCCTTTTCCTACGGACGAAATAGATACATCCGTGGAGGAGGTTGCGGCCGAAACCGCGGACGACGCAGTTGTTGCGGTGGCGTTTCCCGTCACGGGCATTCGCAATATCCCTCCCCCATTTATCAGATGGTGTCCGTGGTGCGCTGCAACCGGTCTTCGACCATTCATCAGGTCGTTTTCGAGAGAAGCACTAGAGGCAGTACGTTTCTTGTGCGGACCACGGCTCGTGTGGTTGAGATGGGAATTTGCCGCGTTCACCATGCCTCCAACACTTTGCTGTTGTTGTGCTTGCGCATGGAGTGCTGCCGCATCCATTAGTTGGCTCATGGACATCATCATGGAAGCAGCGTCACGCCGAGCATTGATGTCGGAAGATGCAGAACCAGAGGAAGCGGTCGACGGGGCCGTACTAGTAGAAGACGTTTGGGCCTTCGCTTGCTGTTGTTGTTGTTGTTGAGGTTGGTGAGAAATTGTATCTGTCATGGGGTTTTGTGAGACTTGTTGAGTTGCTATCATACTTCTTTCAGCCAACACACGCAGCTTGCTTATCGTTAATAGTTGGTGACTTCAGGTTTCGAACTTGGAGTCGGACTGTTTGGACTGGCAGAAATAAGGGAGAAGAACAGGAGAATAAAGTTTGTTTGAATATAACAAAGACCAATTGCCACAGGAAAGATAGGTACGAGCAGTTAGTGAGCAGCTTTGCGTCATTGAGCAGCCCCCTTCGATTTTATGCAATGAAACCAAAGCCACAAAATTTCGGATCCATCAAAACCGAGCTTCCAACGGCGACGTAAATTTCGGCCTTACCGATATTCCAGTGACAGAGATATCTTGTTCTCGTTCTCTTCTCGCGAAGATTGGGGCATACAGACAACCGAAACCTGGATAAGGTGAGGTATGAAAAGCTAAGCTAGACTGCTCCTACTGTTGCTCTTGATGTTGTTGGCTTTGGCTTCCACCCTTTCTTCTACCTCAAACTACGATAATAATCGGGATTTCTTAGGGTTTGCTCGGTTGAAGGGAGAGAACAGGCGAAGTGAATAATGGTGCACTCGCAAAAGACAATACAGCACATCCTTTTCATATTCGACAGCCGTGACGCACTTTGAATCATTTTAAGAGTTGACAAGAAAACACACGTGTCGAAATTCATTGTTCTTTTCTCTCGGATTATTGGTCCACACACGTCAAAGATGTCAAGGATGCGTTGTACTTTCTGGTATCATTACTGAAAAACGTCACTGAAGAACAGCTGCTCTCGATGCACTTAACCAATAGAATTTCTTCTAATCGGTTCAACCACAAAAGATATCGACTATCACGAACTTCGCCTTGGCGGACGAAGAAGAGGAAGAAGTTCAAAAATCGGAATAGAAGAATATTTAGTGCATAGAATGTATGTTCTCTGTGGCTGTTTCTGTTCCGCATACCTCATATTCACTGTCATATAGGACGTGGAACAATGTATTTTACTTAACATCCTCATTATTCTTCTTCTCACGCGACCGGCTATTCATAAATAGCAAGAGGTGATTTGTTCTTCACGATGACGTCATAGATTGCATTCTCAAAACTTCCATTCTGTTTGGAAACTCTGTATGGTGCTTTTTGTCAAGACGGCACGTGCTCATTTATTGGAAACCTTGGGGAAACTCTTTTTCGTAATCACAAGTACCGGTAGTTTCAAAATGGGTTGGGGAGAACGGAAAAGGCATGAACAAAATAAAATGTACCATACGTTACGGAAGGCTTGGATAAAAAACATGAATGTTTTGAAGTAGGTACGTACTTGTAGTACTTCGTAATTTGTCATCAGCAGCTCTTTGTTGAACAAGCACCAGTTTAAGCTTCACCATAACCAACCATACTAATACTAGTAGCAGTAGTGAAGTATAGTTACATTTGAATAACATAGTAGTACTAGTACTTGTAGTAGCTAGTTGTCTACTACTAGTAGTAGTAGTGTGAGAATGCAATCTTATACTAGTAATTAGTATTTCCATCTGTTGCCCACCCATAGTACTACTACTGCTGGTGCTACTAAGTGAGACGAGTATTTCTTTCAGAAGGATAGACGAAGACAAAAAAGCGCAAAGCAGGAGAAAAATATAGTATGAACTCCAGGATATGTTGCAGGATTGCCTCCTTTGCTATTGCCGAAGTCAGCAGAGGGGCATCAGCGCTTCTTGTTGTCATCATGATTGCCCACTTAGTACTAGTAGCACTCCTGAAGAGAAGTAATCGTTGCGATATGATCCGTCCATGTAAATGATGAAGTAGTAGCTCTACTAGTACTAGTAGCACGTGAGGGCACCTGATAGCTGTTGCACATACCATTACGACTATTGGCACCTTGTTTTGTTAGTTTGTAATTCGAGAATATTATGGTTATAGAACAACAAGAGAAACAGATTCTAACTTATTGGAAAGACTTGTGGTGTTGTGTGCATTCGTAGCAGCGATGAAACAAAATCCTTCTGGCCCGTAAGCAGCGAACTTGGTCCCGCCATGGTGTCGTACGTCGGGCGAGAGCTTTTTTCGCGTGTGGGCCCGTTCCCGATTCCCAGGAATGCCGATTCAAGCCGAGCCGAGCCGTTCGAGCTCTTGCACGCCACGCCACGCCACGCCACTCCACTACACGATCTTGTTCTCTCCCTCGGCCGGGGTCGGCATCTCCACCTCACCCGCTCCTCCCGGCGTGCCCCCCGTGTCCGACTCCTTGTCGGCCCTTCCGCAGCACTTGGGAAAGTAGAGGCCGGCCACCGAGAGGAGGCCGAAAATGACGTAGACCAGCCCGGTGGCGGCGGTCCCGTAGCTCGTGTAGAGAGCCGTCGCGATCGCCGGAGAGAAACCCCCGGCGATCGCGTGGCTCACGTCGTACCCGATGCTGGCGCTGGTCATGCGGACCTCCGGGGAGAAGCTCTCGACGAGCCAGGCGCAGAGGGGCCCCCCGAAGAAGCTCAGCAGGGTGCCCAGGACGAGCTGGGAGGCCACAGCGACAAAGGGATTTCCCTTGGAGATGAGAATGAGACAGACGGGTCCCAGGGCGGCCAAGAGGAGCCCGCTGGCGGTCATGATCGGGATCCGGCCGACGCGGTCGCTGATGGACCCGGCCACGGGCAGGACCCAGGTCATGCCGAGGAGCAGGCCGAGCGAGTTGACCCAGAAGGCCTCGGGGACGGGGGGTTCCATCAGGTCCTCCATGTAGATGGACATCCACACAAAGGAGACGTAGAAGCCGGCCGCCCAGAGCATCGGGACCACCGCGGTCGACAGGAGGGCGAGGCGGTTCTCCGGCAGCAGGGCGACCTTGATTGGATTGTGGTGCCTTGGCTTGTCGCCGGGGGTGGCAACCTCACCTCCGTACTTCCGCAGGTAGCAGGCCACAAAGGCGATCAGGATACCCGACAAAAAGGGGAGCCGCCAGCCCCACGCCATGAGCTGCTCCTCGGTCAGGAGCGCACGCATGAGGGCACCGCATAGGTTTCCGAGCAGCGTCCCTATGTTGGCGGCCATCATGGGCAGGCTGCCGTACTGTAGGATTCCAAAACACCACCGTTCAGAGCAGAATACGAGACGGGACAGGAGAGGAACAGCAGACCAAGAGAAAAGATTAGAAGAAAAACGACAATACCCAAGACGGCAAGAGAAAGCGGTTCCAAACGTTCTGGAATCCTGCACCGCACAAACACGGTCCGGTGCGGGGCATTCCATTCCATGCCTATCCAATTGCATTTTGCAACGCAGCACAAGCCACTTTGGATCAATAATTGCTACGCTACGCTTCGATGCGATGCAATGTCATGCCACGCAATGCAATCGTGCAAACTCACGTAACCCCACTGCGACCGGGGCCGCTTCTCGACCGTGTAGACCAGCGACGCCGGGAGCTGCCCGCCGACGCTGACGCCCTGGACCAGGCGGCAGAGGCTGAGCAGGACGGTGCTGGCCGGACCGACCTGCTGGTAGGTGGGGAGGCAGCCCATGAGGGTAGTGGGGATCGCCATCAGGAAGAGGGACTTGGTCAGGGCCTCCTTCCGGCCGTGCTTGTCCCCGACGTAGCCGATCAGGAGGCCGCCAATGGGCCGCATCAAGAAGGCCGACCCGAAGATGACGAAGGAATCGATGAGGTTGGCGTAGGAGCCCTCCTCGGCCGGGGGAAAGAAGATCTCGGCGATGACGTCGGAAAAGAATCCAAAGAGGGCAAAGTCGTACCACTCCAGGACGTTCCCCATCACGCCGGCGATGGTGTTGAAGAGGGAGTCCCCGGTGGGGGTGGGCTCCATGGACAGGGAGGTCGGGGAGGAAGGGCCGGCGCCGTCGACGTCGGTTTCGCCCGGCCCGATGCCGCCGCTGGTTCCCGCGGTTGCGTCCTCGGACAGTGTGGTGGTCATGGTGTTGTGTTGTGTTGTGTTGTGTTGCTGGCTTCGGCTCGGAGGATTCGCTGGTTGGTGTGTGGGTTTGGCCCTGGCTCGATTCGATTCGATTCTACTCGACTGGATTCAATTCAATTCGATTCTACTCGACTGGATTCAATTCAATTCGATTCGGAACGGCGGTCCTGCTGGGTTGCTGCTATGATAGTAAAGAACACGGAATCCAACAAGGGGTATGAAACGGTAATGCTTTTGAAGCAAAATGTCGTACAGTCGCATCGGTAGGACTTTCTACGTGTCCCGTCCAATGAGCATATCACGGGTCCTCCTCTCTCTGCGGGCTCTTTATGGCATCAGACTCGTATTTTTACTTCCGTACGGCACCGTACGTACCGTACGGTATCCTTGCCACCGGCATGCAGGTCGCTCTGTGCTCGAAGCGAACGGTCGAAAAAATCGAAAAAGAGGCATTTTAACGGATGACCGTGTCGGGTCATACACAGGTCACAGCTGATACCGGTAGGCGCATCCGAGGCACCGATATTCATATGTATGTACTGGTGATAGGTATAGTATGATGAATGATAAATTATATGGACAAACATGAGTACGTTCATATCTAGACAGGTTGTTCATACCCACATGAGTACGTTCATACCTAGACAGGTATGTTCATACCCACATGAGTATGTTCATACCCAGACAGATATGTTCATACCCCCATGAGTACGTTCATACCCAGACAGGTATGTTCATACCCATATGTGTAATGGACAACGTACCTTAGTAGGTATGAACATACCTTTAAGGGTGGGAACGTACCGTACATGGCTTGTGCCGTATTCCGGGCCGATCTCGAAACTCGATGGCAAGCTGCGCGTGCGTTCCAAACTCCGTCGCGCAAAATTCAAATCGGTAGTCTTTTCCGTTCGTGTGAAACAATACTGTATGTTGATTCAATCCACAGAATGTCACGTGCGTTGCGAGATTCGTGTATGAAGCCTAAAAAGTTTGTAAAATACCTTATTGACTAGACAAATTAGA